CGTGCCTGTGCTCCACCATCAAGGGAGCCTGGGAACCAGTTGGGACTCTTGTTTTCTGTAGAGGGAGGCTGGCTCTGCTTCGCCTTGTGCTGGAAAGGAATTTGGATGCTGAGAGGCCAAAAAGATTGACAAATGTGCACCGGATTAGGAAATAGATAAAATAAATGATACCTGAATAGAAGTGGCATGCTACTGTAAGGGGGCTGAATCTAAATCTATGAACTTGATTTCCCTAGCTGAACTTGATTCTTATCACAAGTGCCCATTCACTGGGGGTAGGAGAAGCAGGGGTGAATTAATCTCAGAGAATTTGTGGTTCCCCTCCTGTGGGGTGTATCTAAATTCCAGGGGGCTTACCTAGAGTAACAGCAAACGCTCTCTGCTCTAGATTTCCTATGCCGTTTGGACAGTCTGTCGTCCCCCCCACCACAGTTTGGCTCAGGGTGGGGGGAATGGACACTCTCTCTTTTGGTGTCCACAAACAGCTGTGCTCGGCCTTTCTCACCCTCCCTGTCGCTCTACTCGGCCCAAGTCTGGAAATATTAATCTGACCTCCAGAGCGTGAACAAGACTTGCTCAGACTCCTATATTCTTCCAAGTCTATGGATTACGCCTGAGTTCCTTCTGCTCTCCCTGAGGGCTAGGCTTTGGAGACACTAAAGACAGGCATTAACTCCTTTTTTTCTCTGCTTTCTGCCTCTCTGGAGGCAGTGAATGATGAATACCCTAGCTGACTGAATGGAGAAAGAACCAAGGAAAAATGGAGAAATATCCCTCAGTAGACATTTCAAAATATTATCCCTTCACACTCTGTACCTGAGTGATATCTTTTTCAGAAAGATAAAGTCAGGGGTGCCTGGCTGGTTCAGTCGGTGGAGCATATGACTCTTGATCTCGGGGTTTTAAGTTCAAGCCCCACGTTGGGGGAAGAAATCTTAAAAATAAGATCTTAAAAATAAATAAATAAAAATAAGTAACCAAAGTATTGAAAATAAAGTATGATTTTAAAAAAGAAGGTAAAATCATGACACATAGTAAATAAAATGAAGACATGTTAAAAGTTTTATTTAACTCGGGGTGTCTGGGTGGCTCAGTGGTTAAGTGTCTGCCTTCGGCTCGGGTCATGATCCCAGCGGTCCTGGGATCGAGCCCTGCATCGGGCTCCCTACTCAGCGGGAGGACTGCTTCTCCCTCTCCCACTCCCCCTGCTTGTGTTCCCTCTCTCGCTGTGTCTCTCTCTGTCAAATAAATGAATAAAGTCTTTTAAAAAAGTTTTATTTAACGCATTTATTACCAAGAGAACCAGTAAGATATAAAAATTATTAACAAGGAGAATCCAAATAACAAATGCGTATACAAACACTCAGGATGCCGAGATGAATTTGCTAATCATAGAGGCAAGACTGGTCTCTTTCACTGGATGAAATTAATTGCATCTTTACTGGAGAAAATGTATTTATAAGTCTGTAAACAGGAATCATTTACAATTACCTTCAATTCTCCACATTACATTTTATTCTAGAGAGTTACAAAATGATTAAAGATAATGAAAGGCACAGACACAAGAGAATCAGGTAAGCCCAGAAAGTTCCAAGCCTGGCTTTCCACAGAAAGAGTACTGTATTAATTTCCTAGGGTTGAGTACCACAACACTAAATGGGTATTATAAAACAATGGAAATGGATATCCTCCCAGTTTTGGAAGCTAAAGGTCCAGATCAAGGTGTCTGCAGGGCTATGCTCTCTCTAAGGTTGCCAGCAAAGAATCCTTCCTTGCGTCTTCCAGCTTCTTGCGGTTCCTGGCAAGCCTTGGTGGTCATTGGCTTGTAGACATCACTCAGCCTCCATTGTCACATGGCATTCTCTCTGTGTCTCTGGGTCTAAATTTCTCCCTTCTTATGAGGACACCAGCCTTATTGGATTAAAGCCCACCCTAATGGCCTCATCTTAATTTGACTAAATCTGCAAAGTTCCTATTTCTCACCATTCTGGAGACGGGAAATCCCAGATCAGTGTGCCAGTATGGTCATGGTCTGGTGAGGGCCTGCTTCCAGCTCTTCTAGGCCTCTTTTATAAGGTACTTATCTCATTCATGAAGGCTCTGACCTTATGGCCTAATCACCTCCCAAAGACCACACCTCCTAACACCATCACATTGGGCATTAGGATTTCAAAATATGAATTTGGGATGAACATTCAGCCTATAGCAGAGCCCAGTCTTAGAAGGGCCCTCACCCTTTCATGGGTTTTATCTCCAGGAATCCCACCAGGTTCTCATGGTAAAGACTAGAGAAGATCCCCTTTATGGTCCTGGCATGGTAACCACTTTGAAATAAGTCCAGAGGGTTCTCCATAATGAGGGCCCTCAAGGGGGAACCTTATCAGAGCCTTGTCTTAGAGCCTTCTCTTCAGAGCCTGAAGGAAGAACAATTTTTTTTTTTAAGATTTTATTTATTTATTTGACAGAGAGAGAGACACAGCAAGAGAAGGAACACAAGCAGGGGGAGTGGGAGTGAGAGAAGCAGGCTTCCCGCGGAGCAGGTAGCCTAATGCGGGGCTCGATCCCAGGACCCTGGGATCATGACCTGAGCCGAAGGCAGATGCTTAACCACTGAGCCACCCAGGCGCCCCTGAAGGAAGAACAATTAGCCAGACCTGACCCTGTCTAGCCTCCGTGTCTGATGTAAGAGAAGGGAGAAAAAAGGCTGAGAAATGCTTCTAAAGGTCATAGCCCAGGGACATGGGGCTGCTAAAAAAATGAGATTTAATCATAAGATTATGGAACACTTCCCTTTCCAACACCTTTCCACTATATCAACACTCCAGGATAATAAGTGGATTATAACTGGAAAAGCTGCAAATCACAGAGTCTATTTAGGAAGAAGTTCTTGGGGAAACCCAAAGATAACAGAGGAAATAAAAACAAGGAAATTAGAGGAAACAAGCCTATGGTACTCACAGCCATAGCAATTATTAAATATAGCCCAGCTCCTGCCCAGATTAACACAAAGCCTCATACTAAAAACCTACTTACCTCAGTTTCTCTTACCCAATTCATCATGTCTGGCTTTCAACAAAAATTTACAAGGCTTGTTAAAAAAGCATGAAAGAGGGGTGCCTGGCTGGCTCAGTTGGAGCATGTGACTCTTGATCTCGGGGTTGTGAGCTGGAGCCCCACATTGGGTGTAGAGATTACTTAAATAAATAAAACTTTTTTTAAAAAGCATGAAAGAATATCATCTGAGGAAACAAAGCAAGTATCAGAACCACACTCAGCTATGACATAGATGTGGAATGATGAGATAGGGAATTTAAAATAACAATGATTGTTATGTTAAGACTAATGGAAAAAGTAGACAACATGCAAGAACAGATGGGTACTGCAAGCAGAGAGATGGAAACTCTAAGAATCAAAAAGAAGTAGTAGGAAGAAAAAGTGTAACAGAAGTGAAGAATATCTTTGATGGGCTCATCAGCAGACCTAACACAGCTGAGGAAAAATCAGTGTGCTTGAAAATATGCCAATAGCAATTTCTCAAACTAAATGCAAAGAGAAAAAAAAGAAAAAACAAAACAGAATATGCAAGCATGTGGGACAATTCAAGTGCTCTAAGACTCTGTAACTTTGAACAGCAGGACACATGGCTCTCTGGGTCCCTCATAGCACACCCACGTGGGGCTTTTCATTGGGAAGGTAAGGAGGCAAATTCATCGAAGTCTACAGAATCACCAAGCTGGATGGGATGACCGCCAGTCTGAAAATTACACTATGAATCCCCAAAACCCACTATAGAGTTGAGAAAAGGGCAAATGTAAATAGAATAATGTTCAATATCAGGCAGTGTGGTCTAAATGAACAAATATGGATCCCGGAGTCAGACCTGGGTTTTGATGTGGCTCTGCCCCTTGGAGTTGATTGACCTTCGGCAAGTTAGTTACCTTTGAGATCCTGTTCCCCTCTTTCATAAAGCAGTTATCATGATACCTTTCTCACAGGTCTGCTACAGGGATTAAATGAATCATTTACATAAAGTATGCAGGAAATGCTTAATAAATACTTGTTTTAATTCTTGAGATAAGTTCCGACTAATGCAACTAAAGGAAAAAAATTAGCTGAACAGTAGGGCTGGCTTCATAAAATAACATCAGAAAAAATCAGGTAAAGGCAGTGATGGGTCTTTTTTAGTGTTGTATTTCTTTGGACTCATTTTATAAATGAAAATCCAACTTGGTAGCAGGGTGAGGGGATTCTTTCCCATATTCTCAGCTCTTAGACACTCATCAGGGGTTTAATAAAGCATTGTGCTGTGGAGTGTGACAGGTGGGGAACAAAAAGATGATTAAAGATCTGGTTCTTAGAGTAACTGTTTTGTTCTCTGAAGGTGGTTCTATATATTTAAGTTGTTCCTTGTTGCCACTATTATTCTTGCTAATGCCCAGATGAAGTTGATTTGTTAAGGGAGAATATGGCTTAAAACAAAACATTGTGAGACCATGCAGTTCATAGGTTCCTTTGGGCTTGAAGACTCTCTGTATGTGGGTGTGAAATAAATGTAAATTTCACATTGTAGATTTCTGCTATGGGGCTAGGGTAGCTGGAGTTTCCAGCGATTCTTGCTTTATGTTGGCTTGTGCTATTCTAGTTCCAAGACAAGTTACGCTTGTATTTTAAAATTAAACTTTGAAATTTAAAAATAAAAGCAGAAAAAAAAAGTTTCCTAGGCCAAAAGGAATGATTTAAATTTTTGGAGTGCTCATCAGCATTTCAAGAGTAGTGATAAGCCACTGGAATTTACTTTGATGTTTTCCGCTCAAGCACAGCCACTCCAGCCTCCCAGGGTCCCCTCCCCTGTGTCTCAGTGTTGGGCTGGGTGGCCACAGCTCTGGAATCTGACAATCTCTTAGTCTTATTCCCCACTGCCCTTGTTTGTGTATCTGTTTAGCCCTATGCCTTTATTTTTTTAATTATTTTTTTAAGATTTTATTTTTAAGTGATCTCTATGCCCAACATGGGGCTCAAACACACAACCCTGAGATCGAGAGTCTCACGCTCTACCAACTAAGCCAGCCAGGCGCCCCTAGCTCTATGCCTTTAGATCTTCTACAGGCCTCCTCTCTTGTCTTTCTCTCAATGTCCATTTGTCCATCTCCCTGACTCCTTTTTGGTTCCTGCCCCGTGGCACTGACCTGAATAGAGAAGTTTGACTGCTGGCTCACAATTGTTTTAACGGCTAAGTAGACTTCACAATATGTTCTCCACGCTAGGGTTGTCATTGACTTATGGGGAGGGCGAAAACAGAAGGCCGAGGAAAAAATCTAATACAAACCACCTCGGGAATGTTGGAGAACACCCTTTCTCTGAGGACACCTTGAGGAGTAACAGGCTGAAACTACAGAGGAAGGAACATGACTCCTTGAGAGTCATTCATGGGCACAACAGCCCCTGCACTGGAAAGTCAGCCTTCTGGAAGACTTGTAGGGTAGGCCATGCTGGGGCAGGAAAGGCTCTGCTCTGCATCAGGTAGATGTGGTTTGGAGCCCTGGTAATACCACTGTAGCGGGGTGACTTTCTGGATAAGACACTTGACCTGTCTAAGTCTGGACCTCCTCATCTATTAAGAAATGAGCAAGGCTATCTGCCATGTGGTGTTGTAAGGATCCAATGTGTTCCCAAAACACCTACTAGTCCTACACCCCTTCCCCCCTTATGATACCCCTTCACTTGCCCATTATTTAGAAGCTTGTTGTTAAAGCAATTTGGAACCCCAAACACATTTACTGATAAAAGCCAGTAGCCTTCAGCTTTAAGAAGTCTGGCCCCAACACCAGCCTATCTACTATCCTCTTTCTCTTCCCACCACCCCCATTCATGGACTTGACTTTCAAGTCATGGTGGGTTCCTTTGCTGCCTTCCAAACACTTTCCAGCTTCCCTACCCACCAACTTTTACTGCTTCATCCTAGAATCCAGCAGGGGCGCCTGGGTGGCTCAGTCAGTTGAGCATCTGCCTTCAGCTCAGGTCATGATCCCAGGGTTCTGGGATCAAGCCCCGCATCGGGCTCCCTGCTCTGCGGGAAGCCTGCTTCTCCCTCTCCCACTCCCCCTGCTTGTGTTCCCTCTCTCGCTGTCTCTCTCTGTCAAATAAATAAATAAAAATCTTAAAAAAAAAAAAAAGAATCATCCAGCAAATCAATATCTAGGTGAAATCCAAATCAAGCTCCTCTGTTCCCTGATAATCTGTTTTAGAACTGACTTCTCTCTCATCTGAATTCCTTTTCTACTTCATCTAAGCTGGTCATATGAACTTTATAAAAATCACAACAAACTGTTTTTTATAGCTGTTATAATGAGAACATCATTTTTTTTTTTTTTTTAGAGACAGCGCATGCACACACGTGACAGGGGGTTGGGGTGGAGGGAAGCAGAGGGAGAGAGAGAATCTTAGGCAGGTTCCATGCCCAGTGCAGAGCCGGAGGTTGGGCTCCTTCTCACGACTCTGAGATCATGACCTGAGCAGAAATCAAGATTTGGACACTTAACCGACTGAGCCACCTAGGTGTCCCAGCAATGTCATATTCTTATATCCCCTCACGCTGTTCCATAACCATTTGTTGAATAAATGAACCATCACAGCTCCATTTGTTGAGTGTGTGCTATGCCCTTTATAGGTATTTCCTTATGTAATCATCAAGGCAAAGTTTTTTAAAAATGCACTATGATCCTCGTGTTCTGTAGGGAGCTAAGGCTCAGGTGGCATTCCCAACATCAATTATCCAGAAAGTAGAGCAATGATTCCAACGTAGGGATGTATGACTCCATGCCCTATGCCCTTTCTACTTCCCAGGAGAGATAACCTAGATTGAACGTAAGTGAATAAAGCTAAAATCATGTACTGGGGACATTTGCAGTATCAGGTTTGGGTGCGATTTTCATCAATGTCCCAGGCAGACAGATGACCTCAAAGCTGCTCTTTCTCTTACCAGGGGACGCAGGCCCAGGAAAGCAGAGTCCAAATTTGAGATCCACTAAATGCTGCAGAAAACGTTTCCTCCACTAGAGGACTCCCTCCCCCTTAGGCAAAAAGTGCAGCTTCCAAGGAAGGTGGTAGCCAGGGATCCAGCTATTGCCAGCCTGTAGGGGGCTTCACTCCACCTCCCTGAGGCTCAATCCATTTTGCCTAAATCCCTGGGTCCCTGCAGAGCCCGGCCAGCGTGTGAATCCCTAGGGCAATGCTGCAAGCTGAAGCAGTGGGAGGGACAAGCCCCTCCCCCTCCCAAGTTTTCACAGCTACATCCTGGGCTCCCTGGATCAGGGATACTTTGGTACAGGCCCCAGGCTCATTTGGGGGCTCCTTGCATAAGCTCAGGATGTGTGGGGCAGGGGGCAGAATAGTAAACCTTCCTCCCTGGAGAAGCAGAGACTGCACGCGGGTAATCCAGCAATGCATTCCCCAACTGCCGGCCTGACCTGCTCCAGACCCTGAGCCCACTGCAAAGGATGGCCATGAAAGTGGTCCATGGACACCTCACTTTGGCAGACTCTGCGGGCCTGCCAACCCCTGTAGGTTTTGCTGAGAGGAGGAGGGGGGCACCCTGGGGAGTAGTGAAGCACCATTTTGGTTGAAAATAACTTGTAGAGAGGTGTGAACTACCTCTCTGGCCCTCTCCCGAGGAGGCTGGGAACTCCCTCACCTTCACCCCTTCTCTCAAGCTGGGAAGAGAGGGGTTTCTGCAGTAACCCATTAGGGTTTCCTGGAGGGACCCTTGGGATGGGGTTGGAGGTGAGGATCCACTGGTGCATTTTAATCAATAGGAACGCCTTTGAAGTGACATTTAGTGAAAAGAGGCAAACTACTGAACCGTATCTGAGCTATTATTACCACTACATAAAATAAAAGATTAAAGACTTGAGAAGGGTTTAGGTACGTGGTACAAAGGCCGGATGATCCTCCCTCTCTTTTTTTAGATTTGTTGATTCAGTTAAATTATGTGTTTAAAACGTGAAGAAAAACAGGTGAGTGTAAGTTGAGTTATAAAACGTTTCCAGAGACTTCGCCATGTCCTGAAAGGTGGTGTCAGAAATAGGACAGGCAGCTGGATCTGAGAGCTCGGGATGGAGAAGCTCTAGCTCAGAGCAGCCCAGAGAATGAACTCCGAGTTCGAGCTCCAGGAGGGAACAGATGCGAACTTAGTTGGCCCTGAGTGGCCGTCCACTATGTACTGTACATCAGAACATTTTGCTACAACGACCACCCCGCCCTCTCCATCCTGCGGTCCCGCCGAGCGCCCACTTCGAAGGCGTCGTACTGGGTCTCGGAAGGAACCAGGCGGCAAAGGGCAGGCCCGGCAGCAGCCGGGAGAGGCGGCCGGGGCATTGTTTCAGCCCCTCGGGTGGGGTCCTGCAGGGGGAGGGGAGATGGTGTGTCCTCGGGACCCGCCCCGTAGCCCTCCCAGGGGACTCGTGCATCAGCGCGTCCCAGCGCTGGGGCTTTGTGAAGTGTCGTCAGTCACCATGGAAACCCAAAGGAACGCGGAGAGGGGCGCTAGGGGGTCGGCGGGTTCTCGGGCCTCACTCTCCTTCCCCTCTCGGACCCCGGCCCTGCAGCAGGGCCTGTCGGGAGTTGTAGTCCCAAGGCGGCGGCCGCGCGCGGCGGCGAAGATGCGGGGCGCCGCCCGTCCCCGCCTCCCCCTAACCTGCTAGCGCGAGGTGGGGAGCACTGGGGAGGAGGCGTCGGGTCGGTGATTGGCCGAGGCCGCCTCCAGCCCCCACCCACGTCCCCTCCCCAGCTCCCGGCTTCCGACTCCAGAGCCCCGCGCGCCAAGGCGGCGATCGAGCGAGCGCGTGTGCAGCCGCCGCCGCCCCGAGCACCCGCAGCTCCCGCGCCGCGGCGAGGCCGAGGAGAGACGGACCGACCGACGGACCCTCGCAGCCGCAGCATCCCGGAGGAGTGCGTGATGGCGGGGCGGGCGGTGGGCTTATTCTCTCCGGGCTGGGACATCCTTCTCACGGCCTCTGTTTCTCTGGGAGGCGCACAAAAGGGCAGGGATAGGGGTGCGCCCAGGGGCCCGGCCGCAGGGGACGCGGCGGGAGGTGTGGTTTGGGATCGGGGCGGCCATCGGGGCTAAACTGGGGCCCGAATCGGGTGCTCTTTGTACGCCCACAGAGCGCCGTGCAGTGCCTTGCTCATAGTAGGCGTTTCGTGTGTGCTCGTGGGATTGCAAAGAACTGGGGTGAGGAGACGGCTTCGTCGAAGGGGGTTCACTCTTGGCACACAGTAGGCGCCCAACCTGGCTCGTCGAGGTGCAGTGAATGGCTGGAAGGCTGGGCGGGGGCTTCTCTGGCTACGGGCCCGTCCTGCCCGAGTCCCTAGGTCGTCGCTGCCTCTGGCCCCCCACTACCACCCGTACACACACCCTGCGTCCATCTCGCCTCCGGGCTGGGGCTTGCCCAGCCTGGACCGGACCCGACGGCCCGTTCCACCCGTCTGGCTAACGCAGTGGTCGCCTAAGGACGACTCGCCTGCCGCCTCCGAGGCACCTGCCTGAACCACAAAGGCCGCCTGTGGCTGCCCGGCTCAGAGCGAACGCCGAGCTGGATCCCTTCTCTGGAGCCCAGTGCGGGAGCTCTTCCCGCAGCATCGATCTTGGCGGGCGACAGACACCGACGCCCCAGGCCTGGGGAGGGGCGAGAGCCCGAGCCAGAGAGAAGCTGGGATGGGGAGAGGCGGACACGAGGCCTCCGTCTGAGCAAAGATGGGGAGATGGGGAAGCTGGGTGGGGACAGTTGGACTGGGGGTCTGGGTGGAGGGGGAAGTGGAGACCAGGGTTCGGGGAGGAAAGAGAGGGGGCGGGGGGCGGGCCTGAGGAGGGAGGGAAGGAGTGCGGTGCAGGTGGCGCGAGGCGGGGCGAGTCTGGGGCTGATGAAGAATGAGGATGGGAGGAGAGATGCTGGAGGGTGGAGACCGCCGGGGTTTGAGGAGGGTAGACGCCTGGGAGGAGGAGACCCGCGCGGGCCGGGGGAGGGACTCTCTGGGGAGGGAGGGCTCCCAGGGGAGGATGGTCTCCGGTGCAGGGAGGGGCGGGCGTCTGGGAGGCAGGTCTCGGGCCTGAAGACCCTCGGCTCGCGACGTGGAGCCTGGCGGTCCAGGTGGTCAGCTGGGCGTGGCCCTTGGACAGACGACAGACCCGGGATGGCGGATCGGAGACTGGGCTGAGCCGTCCCCACCAGGAGCTTTGTCTCCCAGCCTGACACAGCCCGTAGGGACTCGCTTCAGGTTTTGCGATAATCCGCAGCGCCGCAGGCCACACCCCTTTCTTCTCGGAGCTGAAAGGCTTGGTCCAGTGGCAGATGCTGGCTGGGAGGCGGGATGGGGAACGTCTCCCGCCGGAGAGACCGGGAGAACAATAGCCGGCACTGGTATCCACCCGACCCCGAACTAGGGCCTCTCCCCTCCCCGCCCCCCCAGAACTCAAGTGTGCAGTTTTCTGGTGCAGAAAATGCTCCCGTAGAAATCTCAGGGCATGCTCTCGTCTTTTGGGGTTTGTGTTGGGGCATCAAGCCCCGCTGTTAATTCCCTGGTGTGAGTCTCAGGACCCCCCAGACTGGGGGTCGGGCAGAAAGCCCCACCACCGGCTTTGGTGCCTGCTGGCCTCGGCGCCGGCCGCCTGCCCCCTTGCTGGTTGACCAGTAGCCCAGACGTGGCCTGGCGGCGACCTGGAGATTGCTTCGGTGCAGAGTGAGCCCCCTGAGCAGTCGGCTTTGTCTGCCGAGACTGGCCACGTCTAAGGTCTGCTGTGTGTTCATAGAGGGAGCAGTCAGGGTTGGTGTGGATTGTGTGCTAAAATCCAGAGAAGTGGTTTTGGAGATTACCCGCCAAGGGTGCGGCTCCTGACTTTTTGAGCCTGCAGCCGGGGTCCAAAGCTTCCCATTGCCAGTGACCACACCCAAGCCAGTGTGTCCATCCTTTGCAGATTTTGCCCATATTGTCTGCTGACCTAAGACGGGGATGGCTCTGTGATAGGAGGTGGCTGCTTGCCCATGGGAAAGCAGATGAACAGAAATGGAAGCACAAAACAGGGATTCAGCAGAGCTTTCCATGCACTCGTAGTCTTGCTGGCTGTGTAAGCATCTTTCATGTTGGGCTGCAGCATCTTGACATGTGAAAGGACTGCCCAATCCTAAAATTCTGGTTTAGAGGTTTTCTTTGATCATTGTATAGTTTATATTAAAGGTGACTCTTTAGCATAAGGTTTATACTTTTAAATTGCCGTTCATTTAACAAAAAAGTGGGGAGGGAAGGCAAGGCAGAAGCATTTTTATTCCAAGAGCAAAGGAATCGTGGATAAAAGACAGAGCATCACAGGCCTAATCATTGTGACTTATATTTGCCATTAAGTTAACCGATGAGCCTTTGGCTCTGTCTAGCCTTGAAACCCAGGATTTTCTTTCTTAACCAGGTTGATGCATAAGGCTGTGATGTCACTGTTGGCTCTTGCCCAGAACGTTTGATAGTTGCCAACCTGAAGGCCTTCTATCTGGGCTATACCGAGTGGTCATAGGAAAGCAAGTAGACTATATCTTGCTGGTTTTCAAGGATGGTGTTTTGAGGCGATGCCTCTCAGAATTTACAAAACTTGTCTGAGAGGATTAGCTGGAATGTTCATTGGATGTTTTAAGCTAAGTTAATAGACTAGACCTATCTATCTCTACAGATGCAAACCAGGAATCTCAATATTAGAAAACCTAAAATCTGACATGAAGGTTTTTTCTTATGAAAAAGCTCCAGTAGGAAATGTTTTTCTGTCATTACCCAAGGGGGAAAGTTTCAGGAGAGAATGTTTTGTTGGTTTATTCTTTTTGAAAGAATTTTATGGATTTGTTTAAGGTTGTAACCCTGTCAAGCACTGTGTGAACATCCAACCCAATATTTTCCTCCTGGGGAGTCCATAGATGAGGAATGCCAGTATGACCAGCCCATTTCTACAGGGAAGATGGAGAGAAAGCAGCATCCCCCTCCTACCTCTTATGAAAATGTCTGGGAGACAGCGCCCAGAAGGGAGGGGCAGGGGACCCCAGAATTCTGGAGTGCCATTGTTAACTCCCATCTCCCTGACCTTGGGGACCTCAGCTAGATATATATAAGATGTTCATAGGGGCACCTGGATGGCTCAGTTGGTTGAGCATCCGACTTCGGGTTTTGCTCAGGTCGTGATCTCCAGTCCGTCATGGGATCGAGCCCAGCATTGGGCTCCATGCTCAGCATGAGTCTGCTTGAGATTCTTCTCCCTAACCTCTTCCGACCCCTCTGCTCCATCTCCCTGCTTGTGCGTGCGTGCTCTCTCTCTCTTTAAAATAAATAAATAAAATCTTAAAAAAAAAAAAAAAAGATGCTCATAGGACATGAAGACCTGGCTGTTTTCAGCATAGCCTCTCCAAGATAGAGATATAAGCCAGGATAGTTTCAATATGCTGAATGCACGGGTATTTCCACCAATGGGAACAGCAAGGCATGCAGCAAAGCAAGTGTACATGATTGGCCACAGTTAAGTTTGGGGACTTGGTGTAGGCTTCATCTGTGGTACGTCCACCTCTCTCTGTTCTTCTACCATGGATATCTGGGAATTTTCCCTCCTTCATAACAGCTCCTCTGACCCAGGAGTCAGCATAATCCTACATTAGCTCCAGGGAACTATAGGCCAAAGGCTATCACAACTGGACACCTCTCTGGGGTAAATTAGGATTTAGATAATTATACAGAGCCAGAGAAGTCGGTATTATTAGAAAACAATATCTAAGACCCCAGGGTGTCTGGCTGGCTCAGTCAGTAGAGCATGCGACTCTTGATCTTGGGGTGATGAGTTTTGGGTGTAGAGATTACATTTAAAAAAATCTAAGATTCTATCTTTTTGGTGTAAAAATTAACCAAATTCTGATAGAATCTGATCCTGTTCTTTTTTGTTTTCTGAACTATAAGAAAAGAATTTCAGAAAAGTCTTCTAAGACTTAGTTCACAGGATCGTATAGGAGAACAATAATACAGAAAATCTTTGTCAGTGTGAAAAACTATAGGAAGAAGTTGGCGTACTGTGAAATTAAATGAGAATGACAAGTAAGGTGTTTGATTTTATTGCACTGCTAGTGAATAAATGAGAAATAGTTTCGGGGTCTCTTTGCTTTAAGTTTTTTTTTAATTAATTTATTTCAGAGAGAGAGCTTGAGCTTGAGTGGGGGGAGGGGCAGAGGGAGAGAATCTCAAGCAGCCTCTGTGCTGAGCGTGGAGCCCCAGGCTGGGCAGATCTCACAACCCTGAATTCATGACCTGAGCCAAAACCAAGAGTTGGACACTCAACCGACTGAGCCACCCAGGCGCCCCTGCTTTAAATTTTTTATATAAAGATTAAAGAAAGGTTCAAATACTGTGGTAGGAATCTTTAATGAAATTTGATATTTGTGTATAAAGCGGGCACATTATATACTTTAACAAGAGAAGTTCATGAAGGAATATTGTTTATGATTTCTTTTATTTCAGTCTTTGAAACTCATTCAACTTAAAAGAAATAAATTTAACTGTAGAATCCCCTGAGCCCTCATGCCCTCCCATTTTTTAAAAAGATTGTATTTATTTATTTGAGAGAAAGAGCATGTACATTCATAGGAGCGGGGAGGAGCGGGGGAGGGACAAGCAGACTCCCCACTGAGCATGGAGCCCCAAAGCCAGGCTCGATCCCAGGACCCTGAGATCATGGCCTGAACAGAAGTCAGACGCTTAACCAACTGGACCACCCAGGTGCCCCCCTCATGCCCTCCCATCAATCAGCCTAGTGCTTGTTCCTGGACCCTCTCCTCACAGTCCAGACTCAGAGGCAATGTGCACAAGAGGGAGAGCCTGGGCCTGAGCCAGAAAACCAGGGGTCAAATCCCCACTCTGCCACTTTCTGTCTGTCTATC